TGGCATGTGGTGCTGGGGGATTGAACCGCGGTCCCTGTGCTTTGCTAAGCTTGTTCTAAGTAGGTGCTTTAGACCACTGAGCCATCTCACCAGCCCTAGAACATGTGTTCTTCACTGTGTTCTAATAATGAGTCAGAAGAACAAACAATGAATAGGCATCCATGAAGAGTTGCTGAGGGCTGAGCGAGCCATTCTGCAAGTCCACTGGCAGAATGGGGTGGAGCGCATGGGACTAGGGATTAGCGGGTCACCAACCACCATCTTCAGGGAGCATTAAGAATGAAAAGGTAGCTCAGTGGACTAGAGCGCCTGCTTAGGCAGAGCACAGCGGCTGGGGGGTTTGATGCCCTGCGTGCTGTGCTGGCCTTGCCCCCAGGGCTTGCTGAGACAGTGATTGAGACTAGGCGTGGTGGGGTGCACCTGTCATCCCAGTATTTGGGAGGCTGAAAGCAGGAGAATCACTGAGTTCGATCTACTTAGTGAGACCCTGTACTAAAATACTTTAAAAAGAAAAAAAAAGCAGAAAGGTTCAATTGGGTGTGGTGGTGCATGTCTGTAATCCCAGTGCTTGTGAGGCTGAGGCAGGAGAATTGCTGTGAGTGTAAAGTCAGCCTGCACTACTTGGTAAAACCCTGTCTCAAAACAAACCAAACACAACCAAAAAAAAAAAAAAGGTAACAATAGCTATGAAAGGTTCCCGCCAGATAAATCATTTTATCTGGAGTTCCAGATGTTAACATCTGTTACTGATGCAAGTATGATTCAACTAAGTGGTGCTGGGGCAGGCCAGTGATGGGCTCGTCGTTTCTGTGCTGGTCAGAGGAAGGGATCATGGAAGGGGCAAAGCGAGGACCAGAACAGCGCCTCACTGTGGAAAGGTTGTTTACTGTGAGCTGTGATGTCATGCAGGGATATTTTTTCAGCCCTCTTAGGTTAGGAAGTGAAAAGCTTTAGGTTTCTGTTCAGAATAACCAGGCCAGTGAGTGCCTTCTCACTTTTAAATGTGTGGGAGGTACATGGGCTTTGAACTTTATGAAAGCAGGAAGAATAATAGGTCATAAAGAAATAAGTTTCTTTTTACTTTTACTGTCAGCCACAAAAAAACAAACAAAAAAAATCCTTATTCCATTTTTGGGGGCCTGGCCCTAGCTCAGTTCTTTAAGTGGCTGCTTCCACAAAGCTGTCAGCCTCAGGTTGCTGTAGTTGATCCCCACAACACTCCAGCAAGCCAAACCACCCTGAGGGCATTCGGAGCAAAAAAAAAAAAAAAAAAAAATCCTTACTGTCAGCCAACCTTTAATACCAGTAGTCTGTTTCTAAAGCCAGAAACTTTACTAACAATTTAGTAAATTACTATGTCCAGATGTGTAAAAATAAAAAATACATGTATTGTCTTGAATCTAATTGTTTTATTGCCCCTCATTTCTAGGAGGTGTGATTGCCTATATCAGCTCTTCCAGCTCCGCCTCTAGTCCTGCCTCCTGCCACAGTGAGGGCTCTGAGAACAGTTTCCAGTCCTCCTCCTCTTCTGTTCCATCTTCTCCAAATAGCTCTAATTCTGATGTCAATGGTAATCACAAGAATGGTGATCTCTCCACTATAGAAGGCATCCTAAAAAACGATCGAGTAGATTGTTCTGTGAAAACAAGCAAGTCAAGCGTCCCTGGAATGACAAAGAGTCATAGTGGTGTGACAAGTAAGTTACCTTAGTAATTTAAAGATCACTGCAGTTAATTGTAGATTGGGTTTATTTTATCACCTTTGATTTGGGGGACTATTGCAGTTCTGCCTATAATTTTCACTCCTGTCTGGATAATCATAGATCAGTAGTTAGGAAAAAAGCCAAGGATGACTTTAGAAGTTACAGCCTACATACTGCCATGTGTAGTTAGATTAGGGTCTCTGCCTGACTGTGTTTCTCCCAGGGCTCACCCTTTTACGTTATTCACAGTTACCTTTCTTGTGGATTCTTGATGCTCAATGTTGTTTCTAGAACCAGGTATTAGAGCCAGGTGGGGTGGTGCACGCCTATAATCTGAGCACTCTGGAGCCTGAGGCAGGAGGATCTCTGTGAGTTTGAGGCCAGCCTGGGCTATAAAGTGAGCTCAAGGCCAGCCTGAAATGCATAGTGAAATCCTGACTCAAAAAGAAAACAAAAACAGAAACAATAAATCCTTGCCCCCCAAATAGAGTATTAGCCTGTGGAAGAGGCATTTCCTCTGAAGTGCGGTTGGGAACACTTGCGATTAGGAAACAAAGTGAGATTGGGATAACCAGTGGGTGATAAGCGTGGGATTGGACTCCAGAGTGAGTGTGGAGGTGACAGAGACTGGGAGAAGGGAGGAGCGAGGAGGAGTAGAGTGGGCCTGTTTAGCTTCTGTAGGTGAATTGAATGAGTTCGCTTGCCTGTGGAGAACTTGCCTTGCCTTGTTTATGGATTGGTTTCCCAATGTCTCTTTGCCTATCAGTTTACTTTTCAGGTTCTCTGCCTGAATTGTAATTTTTACCCAGGAGAATTATTTCTTACTCCTGTTTGCCTAGGTGGTATAAAACAACTACAAATTTATAAAATTGCAGTATGTGTTTAAAACACTAAGAAAGGGATATGTAAGATATTTTTGCAGTTTCATAAGCTGTTTTTTAAAAAACTAATTTCCTTTTATTTGCTGTAGAGGTTTTTCTTTTACATTATAAAGCTAGATGTGTATCTTTTGAAAGCAAGCACTTGGAAGCTGAATGAAACAAATATTTAGTTTGAAAGAAAAATACTTGAAATGGTTTCTTCCAGCTTTTCACCTCGTTCTGTTTGTGCTCTAGAGTTTAGTGGCATGGTTCTACTGTGTAAAGTCTGTGGGGATGTGGCCTCAGGATTCCACTATGGCGTTCATGCTTGTGAAGGCTGTAAGGTAAAGCGTGCTTTTTTCCCTTCAACTTGTTAACTGGGTTAAAGAAGTTTGGCTTGCTGTTGCAAATTTCCACAGTTGATAATCTATGAGGGAGAGAGAGATCAGATGCTCTTGTTTTAAGCATTTAGTGACGTATATAAAATAACGTCTGTGGGGTGGGGTGGTACAGGGGATGGTACCCAAGGCTTCATGCGTGATGGGCAAATGCTCTTCCACTGAGATACATTCCTAGGCTTTTTATTTTGAGACAGAGTCTTGCTAAACTTGCCAGACTGGCCTGGAACTTGAGATCTTTTTGCCTCAGTCTCCTGAGTGGCTGGGATTACAGATGGGCACTACTACATTTGGCCATGAAAGTATTTCTGTTAAAGTTTTTCTCAGAATAAATTTTTAAAAACAAAAACATCAAAAAAACAAGTTTGCTGTGTCACTGACACAAAGTGTGAGCCAAGTGCACCAATACATGCTCTGAGTGGGGGAAGGCAGCAAGGAGCAAAACAGCATCGCTACTGCCTTGGTGGGGCTTCGTTTAAACCAAGCTCTGATTTAGGTCCACTTAGGTCTCGGCTTAACTCTGTTCTATGCTGCTATAACAGAATAATACGGACTGGGTAGCTTATAAACTTCACTGAATCAGAGTTTTGGAGGCTGGGAAGTCCTAGATCATGGCGCTGCATACGGTAAGGGCCTTATTGCTATTATGGTGGGAGACATCATGGAGAGAGGGAGAGAGAGAGAGAGAGAGAGAGAACACAGGTCAGACAGCAAGTATACACATTTGCTGAAGGATGTGTGAGTGTGTATATGGGGGGAGTTGAACTCACTTTTATAACAGTCCTACTTTCACAATGACAGCATTAATCTGATTTTCACAAAGGCAGAGTACTTACTACTTAAGTCGCTCTTTAATTTTTTAAAATGTATTTAGTATAGGGTCTACAGGGTCTCATGTGTAGGTTGGACTTAGTGATTCTCCTGTTTTCAGCCTCCCAAGTGTTGGGATTATAGTCGCGTGCCGCCATGCCCAGTCTCAATCACTGTCTCAGCGCACCCCCAGGGTGGGCCTGGCATGGCAGGCTGGGGATCGAATCTTGGCTGCTGTGCTCTGCCTAAGCAGGCGCTTTAGTCTGCTGAGCTATCTGGCCGGCCCCTAGTCACTCTTTTTAAAAAATCTTTTATTTACTTATGTATTTGGTACAGGGTCTCGCTACACAGCTCAAACTTGTAGTGATCCTTCTGTCTGCGCCTCGTCAGCACTGGGATTACAGGCACAAGCCACTATGACTGGTTTCTTTTTTTAAAATTAATTAATTAATTCATTTATTTTTGCAGTACCAGGGATTGAACTCAGGACCCTGCACTTGCCAGGCAAATGCTTCTACTAAGCTATCCCCCCAACACCCATGCCTGATTTTAATGGCTGTCATGGTGTGCCCAGGGAAGGGCTGTCATGGCATATGGTACTAGGATTGAACCTGGGTCCTTGTGCTTGGCAGGCAGGCACTTAGATTTGCAGAGCCATCTCCCCAGCCCTACTTAGTCATTCTTTTTTTTTTTTTTTGCAGTACTGGGAGTTGAACTCAGGCTCTTGCACTTGCCAGGCAAGCGCTTATTCTACTGAGCTATCTCCCCAGTCAGTCATTTTTTTTTTTTGTGTGTGTGGAACTGGGGATTGAACTCATGCCCTTGCGCTTGCCAGGGAAGCGCTTATTCCTTTGAGCCATCTCCCCGGCCCATCAGCCAGTCATTCTTAAAGGCCTTGTCTCAACAGGTTTTGCACTGGGGGGCTATATTTCCAATACATGAACTTGGGGGCGAAGCACATTGAGACTACAGCAGGTCTTGTCAGATACATTGGCATTCTGATATATCTGGTTCTGGGATCTGGGAATAATTTTAGGGACTTGTGAAGTACCTTGGGAACATTGTACATTTAGCTGCATATTTCCTGGGTATTACTACTTGAGTATTGGTTGGACAATTCCAGATAAGATAATCTATACCTCTTTACCTGTAACTAGAATCTGTCAGCACTCAGTCCCCCCTTTGCTCACATATGGCACAGACCTTTCTTCTGTTACCAAAATTTAACATGCCAGAGACACATGTTCTAGCTAGGAGCCAGAATTGAGTTTGGCAAGATACAGTAGGTGAACAGTTAGTGAGATATATGTGATGAGTGAGGGTGGCTCTGCGTGAATTGTGAGTTTATTAGCTTTTAATGACTAAGTAACGAGACTAGTCAGTATTTCTTATAAATACAGCTTTTTCCTGTTTTACTATTTTTTTGTTTTTTAATTTTTTGAGCCAGAGTTTTGCTAACTAGTTCAGGCTGCCTTTGAACTCCTGCCTCAGCTTCCCGAGTGCTGGGATTGTGGGCATGCATCACCCTGCACAGCTTCTACTATTTAAAAAGTGTGTATATACTGCTTATTTTAAAAAAGAAAAATGTGCAGTAGGCAGTAATGAGACAGGCTGTGTGCTCACATTATAGTTAACAAAAACAAGCTGAATGGGATGAGTTTTGCATTTTTCATTTGATCTTAGTCAAAAGGCTAAGAAGCCATAAGTTGTATATTCCCTTTTTTTTTTTTTTTATAAAACTGGGTATTGAACTCAGGCCCTTGCACTTGCCAGGGAAGTGCTTATTCTACTGGGCCATCTCCCCGGCCCCAAGTTGTGTATTCTTGACATTCTTCAGTACTTAAAAATGTATCTGGTTTTGCTCTTATAGTATCCAAGTCAAGTGTGTAGTATCAAAATTATGAGACCTTTTGTCTATATTCAGGGAAAATGCAGTTTAAAATTATATATATATAATTTTTTTTTTCCCTCCCTGGAACCAGTTATCTGGAGCTCTTTGAGGATGTGTTGTAGAGCACGTACTTAAATTGTTAGCCTACTAGTAAAGGCAGCCCTTGTAGCCATCTGGGCTGGGAGCTCTCTGGTTTTGGTCCTTGACGAGTCTGGGGGAGTATGCTGTAATGCCTGTTGCTGATACAGCTAGGACCACCTGGCATGGAGCAGGCCCTGCCTGTGCCTGCAGGTATGATTCAGAAAAGACTGGCCTCTACCAATGCGATTCAGGGTTTTCGTGAGGGAATTATAGCCACCAGCACATTTTTCTGTCAACTTTTAAATAATCAGTCATATTTCAAGAGTTCTGGAATTTGTGTGTGATTGACAGTATGAGGTGAAAAATGTGGCTGCAGGTAAAGTCTGGTGAGGGGGGCAGTGTAGTAGGAGGGGTGCTTTGCTTAAAAAAGGAAGGAGGATTGTGTTTGGAAAATACTTGTAGCACCTGTGTGTAGATACCAGTGAGAATTCAGTTAAATTCTGCTTGTTGGTATTGTTTCTCTCTGTCCTAAGCCAAATTTTTTTTCCCAGGTATGTAGTCACCTAGATAGCCATGGGGACAGTGCTTAGAAGGGATTCATGTAGAATTTCAAATGAGTGAGTCAATCTTTTGTCCTTAGGGTTTCTTTCGGAGAAGTATTCAGCAAAACATCCAGTACAAGAAGTGCTTGAAGAACGAAAACTGTTCCATAATGAGAATGAATCGGAACAGGTGTCAGCAGTGCCGCTTCAGAAAGTGTCTGTCTGTGGGGATGTCAAGAGATGGTATGTTCCCCCGTGAGGAGTTTTGGAGAGCGCGGGAAGCTTGGCCTGGGTTCCTTAGCGCAGGCTGCAGTTAAAAGCCTCTAGGGACCTTCTTACATTAGGGTGACACATGTTGATGCTTTGTAGGACATCAAATTGATGAATCAAATTTTAGTATTGTTAACTCAGAACAGCTTTCAGCTCACCTTTCTTTCCCTGCTTGTATTAACCCACTTTTAGTTAGGCTTAGTGGCATATGCCTGTCACCCCAGCATTTGGGAAGCAGAAGGGTCATTTTGAGTTCAAGGCTAGCCTAAACTACACAGATCCTAGCTCAAAAAACAAACCACAAAGCAAAAACCAGAAAACAAACGTACGTACACATATATCACTATGATATGAAGCTTTCAGTTCCTCTGGAAAAATTTCCAGTAGAGGAATAGCTGGTTTATTTTATTTTTTATTTTTTGAAGGTGGAATCTTTATTCTTGTCTTTGTTTTTTTTATTGACATCAGTTATTTTTATTTTAAAGAAAGAAA